CCCCTTTTCAAAAACGGATCGAAAAGGTTTATCTAAAACACTAACAGTTGAAAGTTTTAATCAAGCAGATATTTGCCCAGTGAGATTGTTATTAAACTTTATTTCAATCAGACACAAAAACAATGGACCACTTTTTTGTCATATTAACAAAACCGGTGTAACACGTTATCAATTTTCTAGTGTTCTATATATATGCAAGACCATGAAATTTATTGATTGTAATCCAAATGAGTACAACACACATTCATTTCAAATAGGTGCAGCTACACATTTTGCTATGAACGGTCATACTGATGAAGAAATTATGACTTTAGGTCGTTGGAAATCTGCATCCTTTAAACGTTATATAAGAATTGAGCTAACACAATAACTTATAATTTCAGCTTGTTAGTAATGAAATATGGATTATTGGTTCATCAATAATATGCAGTGCTCGTGATCATTCGGAGAACAGACCTTCAGGTAGTAATTTAGGTCTTTTAAAAAATAATAATTGTTTTTTTGCGCTGGGCAGGCAAATCTGGTATGAAATGGGACGATGTTGTTGGTACCGTTCACAGCATAATTAATTTATGCAACAAAATTCCACATGTGTTAATATTGCATTGTGCTGGGAATGACATAGGAAATGTACCATGTGGTGCTCTGCTTTATCACATAAAATTCACAATAGCAACTTTGTCTCGTATACTCCCAAAATCTCACTTATATGGTCAATCATTCTTCCCAGGAGTTCATGGCGTCGGATAAAAACCGCAATTGTTATACGTGTGCACATAAAACAAATTTCTTGGTAGAGGGGTCTAAATACAGCACAAACAACATTTTCCAAAAGACCAAAAAAGTGAAAAGTATATTTTAACAAAACGCATTTGACTAACAGGTCGAACAGCTGATGCTCTTAAACCCTGTTGACTGCCATTGACGATTGCCAAATAAATTGATCACAATATGTAACATGGATCTTAATTACTACTTAAATACCAAACAGAAAACAATAAACTTGCGGAGAAGATGGTATACCGCAAACATGAGGTGCAAAAATTTGTACACCATATCCGGATTTCGACAATTAATGTCTGTTCAGTGATGTTAGGGATCGAAACGGTATTTGGAAGGCCATATAATTTACCTCAATTTAGGATAGACTCTTGAATTTTAAGGAGTGGAAATAGGATGAACGGTGCATATTAACCCGAAGGAAAATATAATACAAGCCCAAACGAAAAAATATAAACAGGTCTAAATTAAAAACAACGTTCAAACCTATGATTGCGTTGGATAAAAACCGCAATTTTTATACGTGTGCATGTAAAACAAATTTCTTGGTAGAGGGGTCTAAATACAGCACAAACAACATTTTCCAAAAGACCAAAAAAGTGAAAAGTATATTTTAATAAAAAACGCATTTGACTAACAGGTCGAACAACCGATGTTCTTAAACCCTGCTGACTACCATTGACGATTGCCAAATAAATTGATCACGAGATGTAACATGGATCTTAATTATAAATTTAATACCAAACAGAAAACAATAAACTTGCGGAGAAGATGGTATACCGCAAACATGAGGTGCAAAAATTTGTACACCATATCCGGATTTCGACAATTAATGTCTTTTCAGTGATGTTAGGGATCGAAACGGTATTTGGAAGGCCATATAATTTACCTCAATTTAGGATAGACTCTTGAATTTTAAGGAGTTGAAATAGGATGAACGGATCATATAAACCCGAAGGAAAATATAATACAAGCCCAAACGAAAAAATATAAACAGGTCTAAATTGAAAACAACGTTCAAACCTATGATTGCGTTGGATAAAAACCGCAATTGTTATACGTGTGCATGTAAAACAAATTTCTTGGTAGAGGGGTCTAAATACAGCACAAACAACATTTTCCAAAAGACCAAAAAAAGTGAAAAGTATATTTTAACAAAACGCATTTGACTTACAGGTCGAACAACTGATGTTCTTAAACCCTCCTGACTGCCATTGACGATTGCCAAATAAATTGATCACGAGATGTAACATGGATCTTAATTTCTAATTTAATACCAAACAGAAAACAATAAACTTGCGGAGAAGATGGTATACCGCAAACATGAGGTGCAAAAATTTGTACACCATATCCGGATTTCGACAATTAATGTCTCTTCAGTGATGTTAGGGATCGAAACGGTATTTGGAATGCCATATAATTTACCTCAATTTAGGATAGACTCTTGAATTTTAAGGAGTCGAAATAGGATGAACGGATCATATAAATCCGAAGGAAAATATAATACAAGCCCAAACGAAAAAATATAAACAGGTCTAAATTGAAAACAACGTTCAAACCTATAATTGCGTTGGATAAAAACCGCAATTGTTATACGTGTGCATGTAAAACAAATTTCTTGGGAGAGGGGTCTAAATACAGCACAAACAACATTTTCCAAAAGACCAAAAAAGTGAAAAGTATATTTTAAAAAAACGCATTTGACTAGCAGGTCGAACAACTGATGTTCTTAAACGAGCGTTAGGGGCTTAATTGCTAAGGCGGTTAATGTCACGGCTCCCACAAAAAGTATGATTTAATGTGTATCAGATGTCATTAGATAATTAAATTTTGTTCAGACGAATTTGTTTAAGAAGTTGGAAACTTTTTACAGTCGTAAGATGTCAAATTATGCAAATACTGCAAATAAATCAAGTGAAAACTCAGAGGTAAACCAAGACAAAGACAAAAACAATATGGCGGACACCATTGAAAAGGGTGAGACCTATTCTTCTATCTTACAAATACAAAACACCAAAACAATTATGATGTTGAGGATGTAAAACCAGTTTTCATATTAGAAAGCGACCTGTTTGGTAACAATAAACCAAGCAGAGATCAGGTTCTAATACACATAGAACTATACAAAACCATCGATGCTACAATCTGCCCAGCCAGCCATCTAAAAGGGTTGCAGCGTGTTCGAGGTTTATGGAGAATCTATTTTGATTCTGAGATCGATAGAGAATCCCTCATTACATCAGGCATAACAATTCGAAACAAATATATCCAGGTTTACACTAGAAACCCAAGGATAATTGTTAATGAAAGAACAACTTACCTGAAAATACGGGTTAAAAATGTTCCTTGTTCCGCCGAGGATGGACAGATTGAGCGATGCTTAGAATTTCAAGGATGTGAGGTTTTTAATATGTTTTTAACGGTTGCGGGTAGATGGTCTGTTATCAAATTGCCAAACCGATGACCGAATCGCAATGGTAGCTCCTCTTAGTAAAGCTTTACCAAGATCTGTAGTTATTGGTAAATACAGAGCAACAGTTATTCACCAAGGACAAGAAAATCATAATCATGCTGAAATCTCATGCAATAAATGTCTACAGAAAGGTCATAAATTTTCGCAGTGTCCAAATGACTGGGTTTGTCTTCATTGTAACAAACAAGGACACAGACAAGCAGAGTGTGATTCGCACCTAAGTGAAAGTGACGACACAGAAGACGATAATTCAGACGAGGATAAATCGGAAACAGAAGATCCTGTGCAGATATCACAATCAATACTGCAACCAATCCCCAATGGTAGTAAAACAAGATCACCTACTATGGCTCCACTTAATAAAGATCAAACTGTCACTTCTAACAATACAAGTACGGACAATGATAATACGTACAATCATGACCCAGTATTGGAAGTTATAAATATTAACACTTCCACCGATGGCTCACAGAAAAAAAGAAAAGGCAAGTAAGACGTAGGACCAGTACCATATGTAAATCTATTACAAAACAGTACAATGTTCAAATATAAATATACCCAGCAAACACAAAAACATCTTTAAAATGTTATTAAAATGTTGTGTCTAATGTCATGAAAATATCACAAAAAAACGTGAGAAAAACATAAAATGTATGGCTGAATATATATCGCTAAAACGTTTTCTAATATATTTTCTAAAATATTTGCATAATATAATTAAAATGTTGTCAAGAAATATCATGATAATGTGAAAACCAATGGCGTATAAAACATTTTGATAATCTTTTAAAAGATATTTTCTAGAAATATTTTCTGAACGTTTGAAAAACATCATGAACATCAAATAATGTTATAAAAATGTTTTTGGGATGTTTCCTTTCAAGTGAGACTGTGCCTAAAAAATGCTTTCAAAATGTTTTAAGAAGATGTTTTTGGTTGATATCGAGATCATATCAATATAAAAATTTCTGTTCTTTTGATTGAGTTTCCTGCTTATTAAATAACAAATCATTAGTTTAATTTACACACAGTGATTTACTCTATATACAAACAAGAATAAATCAGTTGTTTTGCTAAGCATATGAAAATTCACAATTCAAAGTATCTAAAAACTAGAAGTATCTACAAATTTTGACACATCCCAAATGGCAGACACAACTCATCATGGTCAAGCCACTTACCAAATATGAAGTCATTCTGTTCAGCAGCATTACCAATAAAAGTAATGAAAAATTTGAGAACATTCAACATTTTGAAATACAATGTATAAGCTAACAGGAAACCGGTGCCAGATACAAAAATGTTCACACATCACAGTTCATCACTATCAAGCAGCTCATCAAATATGAACTCATCTTGATCAGCAGTTTTGGGAAAAACAGTAATGAAAATATTTGTTGGACAAAATCCGACAAATATAGGTGGACAGACGACAGACAGTGCAAGAAAGCCCACATTCCTACCACAATGGTATAATGTTTAGTTTTTCACTCTCAACTTTTATTACCTATCTTATACACATCATGCATATGTCAACCTGAACATGCATGACATATTTGCCATTGGACATTATGCAAACATTATACACATTTTTAAGTTGAAGTTACATAGACTAAAACTTGTGTCCCAAATATAGATTTTTCAATATAACTTCTCTTTCTAAATTCAAACGTAACACTTCTAATAGGATCACATCTTATGTCAATAAGTATTGATAATTGGCTTAAGAGATGAGAACAAAACACCATTTTACATCAACTATTTGATTTATTTAAGAATACATTGAAAAAGTCAATTAATTGTCTTATTCAAAATCACTTGGAATGTCTTGTAGTGTTTTATATCTTTTTCTTGTTGTGCCATGCGTCTGGAAAAAAAATTAATCTTACATTCATATATAAACTTCTTGCACATTCCTTTATTAGAGAACGATTCACGTTGCCTGAAAGATATACATCCCCTCACCTTTAAAGTTTTGAAACAAATAACGATGATAGTCTGTCGGAAGGGGACGATAAATGGCTGACCGTGTTAAGAGAGAGCAATATGCCACGCTAAACTTTATTCAGTTATAAAAAAAAACCACATAAAAAACATTAGACTAGATATGTGTCCAGTCAAGAGTCTTATTTCATTATACTCGTTGATTGTTGTCTATCATATTTTTTTTTCTTTTATTGTTTTGTAAAAATCAGGCTGTTCTTTTCTTGGGTTTTTTTAGTTTTCATTATAAATACATTGTATCATGTAGGGGCCTTTAAAATCCCTACTACATTAAACATCTTATTGTCTTTTTTAAGTGTTAAACTCTGTACAGTGACATAGTTTATAACTTGTTATTTGTATCTAAGGACATATGATACAGTCCTAGTAGTATACTATAGGCACATAATAACTTATTGAAGTGTTACGAATTGTTTTCGCAAGATGATAATAATATAACTTAACTTCCGAGAAACACACAGATGTCATTAAATGAGTTGTTTATATGTATTTGAAATACTTCAAAGGAAAGCAAATATGTTGATTATGAAAGCACACTGTTGGACTAAAAGATTGATTTAAATAAACAACTTGTTTCTGTGTTGTCACAAACAAAATAATTTATACAAATATCCAGATATCTTTTCTGTATTGTATGCCCTTAATCTTGAATGTAATGTATTGTTTATGCTAAATATTTGAATTAAATATGGAATAACAGTAATTCTGTAGGAAAATCTTACTTCAAAAAAAAATTTCTCCTGAAAGGTTGTAGACATTCCAAAGAACCTGTGCCACTTCCAAATTGTAAATCTGCATATTGAACTTGTCCTTTGTGGCTTTTCTTTTAGCTCCTGTTAAAAAATAAAAGATACATTGTATGTACATTGTGTGTATGAATCAATAAATATAACTTTAAGCAACAGTTTATTTCATCTTGCTTGTACTGAAGTCTTACAGTCTTTGTAATGTTCATTAAGCTGTTAAGGGAAATTTAATTTACTGTTTTGCAAATATATACATACACTGATTTTACTAGAAAAAAAAATCTCCATATTCACATGGTGCTTATATTAGTGTTATTGTAACTTGTTTGTGTGCCTTGGAACAAGGTATTGAGTCATGCTTATTGCATACCTGCCAAGTTTTCAAAATCTCCATGGGGGATTTCAAGAGCGAGATGACTAAATGCTCCTCTTATATTGTCATAAGACTTTCTAATCTACTACTATATTGTTTGAATGAGTATGCATGTGCTTGAATCCCCTTTTAAATCATTTGAATGCCTGTTTTCAGGTGTTAAATTTGTATAATAACGAATTTCAAAATTCAGGTCAACACCTCTCATGGGGGAAATCCCCCATAAAGCATGAAGGTAGGCAGGTCTGTTATTGCAGTAGTTGTTGTTGGTTTAAGTCTGTCATATTTGTTTTTCATAATGTGTATATAATGTAGGCGGTTAGTTGTTTTGTTTCAATTGTGTTGAGAAAAATTTAACATTTGTTTGTCAAGGCCTTTTAAAGTGGACTATATGGTATGGGTTTTCTCAGTGTTGAAAGCCGTACAGTGACCTATAATTTCTTTTATCCAAGTCATTTGAATTCTGGTGGATAGCTGTCTCATACACCTTATCGCTATTTCAGTATTCGGAAATCTATCCCGCTTGAACTTTATACGTCAGCATACGTCATACAATAATACACCTTATCGCTATTTCCGCTTGACCCGATAATCTGTCCTGCTTGAACTTTTGACGTCAAACAACAATCACTTTTCCATTGTGGCGTCAGATATTTTTTATTATGACGTCAAAATTTTACGGGAACTTGTGACAGTTGTGTGATGTCCAGTAATGGCGGACAAATAGGGATAAGGTGTATGATTTCCATTGTGGTGTCAAATATTTTCTATTATGACGTCAACATTTTACGGGAACTTTTGTGGTGTCCATGGCCAGTAATGGCGGACAAATAGCGATAAGGTGTATTGGCAATCAAACACACAAGCCACATATCCTTTTTTTTATATCAATGAACAAATTCATAATTGGTGTACGTAGATGCTAGAACAGTGGCGGATTTAGGGCCCCGACCCCCTTATGGAGCTACATATAAGATAAATGCATAGACTATTTACAAGTATCACTCCAAACGTTTGCTTGCCTTGGGCAGGGGCCCCTCTTTTTTCAAAACCTTGATCCGCACCTCTAGAAACAGATGTATTGGTTCCGATTATGATTGAACACACAAAATGATTGCACAAGTTTCATCTTAAGAGATTAATCATTCTTACCAAGTGAGTATATATCGCGTAACAAACAATTTTCTTGGCTCTCTTTGTTGATATCCTGTCTTCGTTTCAAAATTCAAATTTCAATATCATTTCCGGTGATAAAACAAAAGTCGATTCCGGAAAAGGTCGGTTTTCCGTAATGCATATAAACGATATGAAAAATGGAACTTAGTACAGTTACAGTTTTCATTTCTTAATTTCTAAAATATACACGAACGAAATGAATAAACATTAAAGAAAGGTGATTGTTTATTAATACATTATTGCTTAATTTAATGTTGACTCTTTTGAATTTTAATATAAGAAGGAATAAAATCGGACTTCAAGATATCAAGGATTTCAACGGTATAGTATCTTGCTTGTCATGATACTGATGAAATGTAGTACTATATCTTATCCTGAAAAAAACGAGCTAATTCCACAAAATTGTTTGTGGGGTATTGAATAAAGTTTAAATAAAATGTTATTTTTATATCCGTAAAATGTTGAATAAAATATCAGTAAGACTATTAAATAAATAATGTGTATGTCAAAATATTTTAAAGAAAACATTTAGCTGATATTTTTCAGAAGTTTTATGTGAAACATTTTAATTTTACGTTATAAAACATTTTATGCAAATAGCAAAACTATATTTTCTGTAAAATATTTTTTGCAGAATGTTTTTTGGATATTTGGAAAATATTTACTTTAAATGTTGTAACAATATGAAATACCAATTGAAGAAAATATTATTTTTTTATATATTATAAAATATCTACGGGATATTTTAGAATTATAATGTTTGACAATATGAATAAAAGATATTAGCAAATTATATTTTGTTAATGTTGTAAAAACATTTTACTTAAATGTTAGAAATAAAACATTTCAAAATCAATAAAATAAACATTTTTTTGATGTTTAAATGATATCTTATTGAAATATTTTGTAAGAGACGTCCATATAACATTTAAAAAATGTTTTTAAAATGTTGTGTGTTTGCTGGGTATGTACATAGCATTTATTATTTTTATTTTATTAATTAAAAAAAAAACAAAAAAAATGAATGTGATGCAATGCCAGATTGCATACATTCAAAAGATAATGACTATTTGAGTGTCAAACATATGTATGTCATAAAACAGGTTTATGTTCCAAACAATCACCTGTTAGTATGGTACGCTATAAATAGAACATTAGAATTTGAATGTATATTTGGTAAAAACAACATCATTGATATTAATATTGTAAGAAATTTCTATATCCAACAATTATTTTTCCATGTGAAAAGAAATCCATCAGTCACATATGCCACGTTTATAATCCAGAGTGGTAATATATTTCAAACTTCTTTGCAATGTATAGAAAAGGAAAATCCAATTCTATTTTAAGAACATGAAACACAATTTATAGCCATCCGTGTTTTCTTAATATCCGTATGTAAATCCAATAATAGTACTTTTCATTTCCGGTTAGTACTTGGAATACGGTATATCACAAAGCCATCATTGAAATTGTTTTCTTTAAATAACGTCTGGTGTTCGGACATACCACTTCAAATTGCTAATCCGAATATTGGTCATTGTCTGACGGAAGTCAAGGCCAAGTGCGGTCTAAAAATAGATAATGAAATAATATCAAAACAATGTAGTTTTCATATAAAACATGTTAAAATGATTACTTACAACAATATTGTAAAAATATTGACAAATTTATGTACAATGTATATATTAATATTAATACACACTGTATGTGCATGCTGTAAACACAAATGCTGTTTATATTATGTATGAGAAAACTTTACATTTTTGATTTGATATTTATGGCAAACAATGAGTGAAACCATACATATATGTTCATTAAATTGTCAAGGTATAGGTTCAAAAGATAAAAGACAAAGGCTTCATATGTGGATGAAGTATCAACATTGTAATATTTTATTTGTACAAGAAAGTCATTTTACTTCTACTTAAGAGAAAAATTTTAAAAATGAATTCAAAGGTGATATATATCACAATTTTGGAAATTCACAATCAAGAGGAGTATCAATTTATATTAGTAATCACACAGATTATCAATTAATTGATAAATTTCAGGATGAGGAGGGGCGAATAATTTTGATCAATATAGAAATTTCAGAAAGTATATATACTTTAGTTAATATTTATGCACCAAATCTTCCCAAAAATAGAAATGTCTTTTTCATGATACAGAAAAACAGTTTAGGGATGGTCATAGTTGGGGGAGATATGAATGATACACTATCTAATATTGACAGCAAAAAAAAAAAAAAAAAAAACAAACAGCAGAAATAAAAAAAAAAACAAAAACCAGTCAACAGTTTAAAAGGGTTAATCAAAACACATAAGTTGATAGACATTTGGAGAGATATACATAATACCAATATACAATTTACATGGAGACGGAAAAATAAGATAAATGAAGCTTCACGCATAGATTACTTTCTTGTTTGTTCAGAAATAAGGTCACATATATATTCAGCAGATATAAGACCTGCACTTATTTCGCATACAGATCACCAAGCTATATCTCTAAAGGTAAAAGGGAGATAACAATCAAAAGGGAAAGGATATTTTAAAATTAATAATAGTATCTTGGATAATATAGAATATAAAAATAAAACAAAACTTACTGATAACATAGGACTTCAATAGGATCTGTTCAAAATTGAAGTTCGAGAACATACTGTTGCATACTGTAAAAGAAAAGCAAATCAAAATATAAGTGAAATACACATATTGGAAAATAAGATTAAAAAATTAAATGAAAGTATAAACAGATTGTAAAGATGATGTTATTAAACATTTTCAAGAAGAATTAATTTATAATGAATGTAAACTAAGAAAACTTTATGAAATAAAAAGTAAAGGAGCTCAAATAAGGTCAAGGATAAAATGGGTAGAAGAAGGAGAGAAAAATACTAAATTTTTTTTTAGGTTTGAAAAAGCTAGACAAACTAGAAAGACTATAACTGCCTTAAAAGATGACAAAGGAGTTGTACAAACAGAATCTTCTAAAATTTTACAAATAGAAAAAGAATTCTATCAAAATATTTATAATAGTACAAATCCAGATGTGAAATCCATAGATAATTATATTAATGATACAAATATTGATCACAAATTAAATACACAAGAAAGTGAGATAATGGAAGGTACTTTAACCATTGAAGAATGCACGAATTCATTATTCAAGATGAAATTGAACAAATCACCAGGAATTGATGGACTAATTGTTGAGTTCTATAGAACCTTTTGGGATGAATTAAAAGAATTTGCTGTATCTACATTTAATTATTCATATAAAAAAGGGGAGTTAACGAGTTCTCAAAAATTAGGAGTTATTTCTCTTATACATAAAAAGAATGATCCGCTTTTTTTCAATAATTATAGACCCATAACTTTATTAAATATTGATACAAAATTAATTGCATATTCATTGGCTCAGCGCATTAAAAATATCCTACCAATAATTATTCATAAAGATCATAATGGTTATGTTAAAAATAGATATATAGGTTATAATATTAGACAAATCCAGGATATAATTCATTATGCAGAAAGATTTAATATAGAGGGGGCACTACTATTTTTAGATTTCTCAAAAGCATTCGACTCTTTAGAATGGGATTTTATGATTTCAGCTTTAAAAAAATTTGGATTTCAAAATTCTATGCTTAATTGGATTAAGACTTTATACACAGATATTAAAAGCGCAGTAATAAATAATGGATGGATATCTGAACCCATTAACATTCAACGTGGAATCCCACAAGGATGTCCGTGCAGTGCGATAATTTTTGTTATAGCAGTAGAGATATTAGCCTGTAAGATAAGGCAAGACCATAATATTAAAGGCTTTGAAATTAAGATAGATGGGAAAACACATTCATTAAAAATCAGCAAACTTGCAGATGACACGACACTTTTTCTAAAAACACGAAAAGACATTTCAAAAGTTTTAAATATGATTGAAATTTTTGGCACATTATCAGGGCTCAAATTAAACAGATGAAAAACAGAAGGCATTTGCTTGGGAAAACATAAACACTGTATAAAGAAAAATACAAAAACATCAACTTTACAGACAAACCAGTGAAATGTTTAGGAGTTTTGTTGGTTGTAATAAAAATGTGTGTCAAAAACTTAATGCTGAAAAACAATTAGAAAAATTTGAGAAAAAAATATAAACTGGGAGAAAAGCAATCTAACATTGTTGGGAAAAATAACAGTTATCAAATCACTGATTCTACCCAATATTACTTTTTTAGCATCTGTTTCACACATAGAAAAAGAATATATTGATAAATTTAAAAAAAATATTTATCAATTTTTATGGAAAAGCAAAATAGAAAAAGTTAAACGTAATTTAAAAGTATTAAGCTATGAATTGCTAGATGGTGGTCTAAAAATTATTAACATAGATAAATACATAGAATCCTTCAAAATTGGGTGGATTAAAAGATTAATATATGGAGATTTAGCCAACTGAAAAGTTATACCATTATTTTATTTTAATAAATTTGGCAAGAACTTCCTTATCTTTCAGATGAACATTGATGGTATTAACTCAATTCCAGGTTTAAATAAATTGCCAGAATTTTATTTGAATGTAGTAAAAGCACGGGTAAAAAACAAAAAAATAGAGCAGCCTAAAGACTTTAAATCTATTCGTCAACAAGTAATTTGGGGAAATCAATTCATTAAGATAAAAAAAAAAGTCTTTTATTTCAAAACTGGATAAATAGCAATATCATCTATGTAAACGACATTATAGATGAAAATGGTAACATATTGGAGAAACATAGTTTACAAAAGCTCAAGATTAAATATAATTGGATGTCAGAATTTTCTCAATTGAAGAAAGCGTTTCCAAAAGAATGGCTTAATATTTTACAAGAAATTTCAAAGAAAACTAAAGTAAAAACAAATTATGTTTTATACATTAAGAAGAATTGTAATTATTTAGAAAAATTAGAAAATTTAGACACTAAAAAAATTTATAATATATTTATTCAGAATGAGATTGAAATGCCTGTTGGTTTTAACCGATTGAAAACAGTGTTAAACATTGAGTATATTCAGAGTTCAACATGTAATATATTAAAATTTGTTCATCATTATTTGAAAGAAAATAAATATAAAGTGTTTCGTTGGAAATTATTACACTTTATTCTACCTTGTAAAACTTTATTAAAACAGTGGAATATCTGCAATACTTCAAATTGTCATTATTGCAATACCACTGAGGATTATGTTTCTGAAATGTCACTTTCTTGATGACTTCTTGAAAAAAATAAAAAATCTTCTTGAAAAACTGAATATTGATAATAATATTCTAACATTGAAGAATTTAGTATTCGGTTATAAAAGTAATGATGAACAATATTATGAAATCAATTATTTGATTACATTAATAATGTTTTGTATATATAAAGCTAATTACATGTCTGAACAGAAAACAGAATCTATAAATGTTTATGCTGTATTTAAAGCAGAATTTATGTATAGTTACAAACTGCAGGCAGAATGTAAGAATACAAAATATAAATGAATTCTAGATAAAACTGCCAAATTGTTAACATAATTTC